ACGTTCTAGTCTGTAGTCGTTTAGGATACAGAGGTAGTAGCTTACAGCATTGTAACTAGTGTACAAGGGGTGTGCAGAAGCTAAGACGATTTAGGCTAAGCATAGTGTCTTAGAACATAGGTAATAGTGTTACTACGATAAGTATTAGACTAGGAAGGACATTATGTACAGACATACTAAGTCCTTGTACACTTGCGCTTAGAGTTGCTAGTACTCTAAAAGGTCTCTGTTTGTATAATAGCGTTAAAGTATAGAGGAGATATACTGCAAGATAAATACTGTAGCGTTAGAGATAAGCTTTTAGACGAGGGATTAAATAACATTGCACTAGTATATGTGTAATACACGACATATTTAGTAGGGTTTTAGGTAAGGTCCGGAGCATCTAGACAGCAGATTCTCTGTTTCTCTATGTGCAATACTAGCGTACTTGGCGCTAAGACTCTTATCGCGTTATAACTGTTATAACGTAATAAGAGCTCACGTAACGATATAACGATTTAAGAACCTTAAACCGTTATACGCTATAACGGTTTAGCTTAACGCGTTAAGCTGCCCAAGTATGGCTTGTACCCTCTTCGCTCCGCGAGCGCCCTTCTCAACTCCGCCAATCTCCCCAAAGCTCAACCCAATGATTATTGCAATACAGTAGGCCTCTCAGATACCGAAAAGCGACTCTAAACTCTCGGGATGTGGTGATCCCATGATCGAGCTGGTTGGGATTGAGATGCGAAGGACGCGAAGCTGCTTGCGAAGAACGCACCTCCATCCCTACTCTACCTGTAATGCCATTCATCCGCTGCCACCAAATCTCGAATCCGAAGCCAGAATTCATCTCCAAGAATCATCGTTATCTTGGGAAGAAATTCACGGTCAACAGGGACGATTTCAACGGCAGTGCCGCTCGACTGGGACAGCGCTTTCTAGCCCCTCCAATGCCGACAGCATTGCCTTCGCTGAAACATCCTGCAAATGCATTGCGCATACCAACGAGCATCTCCAACCAGCTCAAGCATACGCGCCACGTTCGTCTTCCACAGACCGTCGTCCAAGACCAACCATCATCTACACATCGTGCCTTAGCGTCGCAATCCTGTGATCGACTTTGATGTCTGGTCGTTGACTGGAACAGGCCGGCATACCGCACCGTTGAGAACAGCACGCTTCCATCGATCGCCGCTCCATCATGGATGCTCGGTTCGAAGGGACTGCGCGATGGCTCGCGATTGAATGTAGCCATCAAACAGAACGTCGCTGGGCTCAGTATCTATCACAGGCTGCAATCGGCAGTCCTGGGGGTTGCCCAGTAGCTGCCATCAGCACCATTTACCGACATTCCATCAACAATGACCTTGCGACGCGACACTAAGATGCAAGACGGGAACGAATGACGACCTGCTATGTCTCCCCTCTTCGACTAAAGCATACGCGGAACGGCCGAAGACGGGCCCCTGTCTCTCGCGCCCGACTACACAGCCTCGCTAGACTACGTAAGATCGGACACCACAGCCTCAATTGTAGGCCACTCGCTCTTGGAGAACACATTGCGGCGCAACGTATGGCATATAGATGCATCTCATCGCGATCAGCGATGCAGCTCCATGGTGATTGTGATAATGGACATACCGGAGGACGTGTCGCCGAAGCCAATGCGGCCCCCGTCCAAGAGCGCCAAGCATGGCAGGGCAACATGAAGACAAAGAAAGCAGGCGTGTTAATTGTCGATGTCGGGAGATTTGTACGCATGGTCACCGAGCAGTGGTACTTGCGAGAGGTGCACGCGCATGGAACTGCCTTCGTGCAAGACGATGGCTTAGACGCGGTAGTCGTGTTGAGACTGAGAGTAGAAGCAGGTTCTGTGAGTCGCATGCAGACTGATGCGCCTTCGCCGGAGGTGTTCATTGGTTCCTACTTTACTTGGCTGAAATGTTAGAGTCATCCATATCATCCATGCTTAGGGTCGGTACGCTGCAACTTATGTGGTCAATCGGACTCGTCTTCCCGACACGAACGGGCCGATGACCAGCAGATAGGACATACGATCACTTTGCAAAAATTAGCCCTTCGCTCACACATCGTACTATCCGCCATTCTGGACACAGTTCTTGGACAACACGTTCGTCACTGATGAGTTAGGGATCGACGCCGGTACAATGGCGTCCCATACTGATGCTCAGTGTCTAACAAGCTTATAGGTCTATTATATATTACAAAGCAGTACTATCCCTACTAGAATTCTCTTAAATCACTACATACACCAGGACTAAACAGTAAGTTTTTTCTCTTGTTGAACCTCCTCTGAAGCCTTGACCTCGTTCGAAGCCATCGCATCCTTGCTTGGCTTCTTCTCGTGGTCCGGTAGCCTCTTGAACGGGATGAGGGCGGTCAATATAACCGAAAAGGCAGCACATGCCAATGAAAAGGCGAACACGTCTTTGATACCCACCATGTAGGCGTCCAGTACAGCAGTCAAGTCATCGCCACTGAATACATCCTGCAGCTCGGAAGCTCCGGTGCCCAGAACAAGGGCAACATCAAGGTGATCTGAGCCCGAGGTGAGGGCATGCAGCATGCGATTAGCGAAGAGGGACTGCGCGATGGCAACAAAATAGGCACCGCTGAGGGTTTGACACACTGAGGGAGACATTAGCTTGATTGCGAAATAGAGATATAGATAATGCTGGTCAATACTTACTGACCATGATTCCAGTAGCGCTGGCCACTTCGTCAGGTTTCGAGAAGCCCTGAACAGCTGTCATAGGAACCTGGTTACACAATCCGATTCCAAAACCAAAGAGTACCTCTGCGCCGATGTACTTGGCTTTGGGGGAGTCGACATCAAGGATATAGATGAGGGCCATACCGGCAGTCATGATCAAGGCACCGGCAAGCTCGTAAGGCTGTGTGTAGCGCGTCTTTCCGATAGCGCCGCCGCTGACCATGGCTCCCAGAGCGAAGAAGGCGAGGAATGGGAGTGTGTTGACACCGCTTGTGACAGCGGACTGACCATGAATAGATTGGAAGTAGATAGGGAGGTAGAACATGACTTGGTAGAGCGCAGCGTAGGACCTAGAGGTGAAATAGTTGGTAAGCCGTTGCAGAAAATGATGGACATCAGTTAATGACTTACACGAGACAGAAAATGACATTACTCCATGTCATACGCTGTTTCAGGATGCTCAAAGGAGCCATGGCGCGTGCTCCTTGCAGCCATTCGACAACGAAGAACCCAATTGTGAGCAAGATCCAGAGAACAAGAGTGGCAATTACCGAGCCGTCGTCCCAAGGTTTGCTCTGACCACCCCATTGAAGCGCGAGGGTCAAACACACGAGAGATACGAGTAGCAGACAGAACCCCGGAATGTCGAGGTTGAGGATGATTTCTTTCCATGTAGCAGGAACGGGCTTGACGTGCTTCGGTACGCGAAGGAACAGCAATAGCAGAACGATGATGGGCCCCCCAACGGGTAAGTTGATCCAGAAACACCATCTCCACGAAACGCCACTCGTGAACGCACCGCCAATGACTGGCCCAAGGATCGTGGACATCATGAAGACGGCCATCCAGGTGCCGATCAAAAGAGGATGGTTCCTAGGCGGAGCCACATAGTTGATGACGATGAGAGTGCCACCAAGAACACCGGAAGCTCCCCAACCTTGAAGAGCGCGGCCAACAATGACAGCCACGCTGTTCGGTGCTGCAGCAGCGACGATGCTGCCTACCAAGAAGATGCCGACTGCGCTAAGATAGACCCATTTGACGTTGAGGTACTTGTACAGCTTGCCCCACAATGGCGAGAAAGCGGCTGCGAGAATGAATGTGGCGCTGCCATACCATCCTACATCGTCGAGCTTGCGAAAGTCGTTGGTGATACCGGGGATTGCAGTCGCGATGATACCAATCTCTAGCGAGACGAGAATGGTGCTCACGAAGATTGTGAACATGACAAGGCCCAGGCGGAGGCCAGTCAGATACTCAGGCTCCACTTTTTCGGTGGGTGAGGCTGTAGCGCTGTCTTGCTTTTCGGAAACGCTCTCAGCTGCATCGTGCTCGTCGTGACTAGACGTGGGCGGCCTACGCGTGTCCATGTCGGATTTGTTGTTGCTCTCGAGACTCGGACTGTCGGTCATTCTCGCTGTTGCTTTCCACAGTCGTACTTTGTCGAAACAATGAGGTCGCAGATGGGTTGATCGTTGCAACTGGAACGAGATTCGTAATATGGGGAACACACAAGTTGTGCCAATTCTCGTGCGGACTGACAATCGGGTGATGGCAGAGAAGAAAGTCGCCCAGTACAGTCAAGTAGAGATAAGCTCATGATCAGCTCGGACCACAGATCTTCTCAGGACGCACTCAAAACAGAAAAATATTCGACCGCCGTGGACTTGTTCGTTGGAATGTTCGACGTTCCTCCGCCGTACGGTGATAAACACGGGCGAATCCCGAAGTGGCCCAGTGCCGGCGGAGGAACGTCAAACCTGATTGACCGCCGCACCCCACCGTGAAATTCGACCGCTCACCCCACCATCTACTTCGACCGCTCGCCCCACGCTTCGCGCGGTCGAAACTAGCGGCTGACTATTACTTCTTCTCCCATGCCCCCAACAAACTTTGTGGGGAACTGAAGGAGCCTTATCAGGATCCTGTTGGCGTGAGAAGGGCCCGGGCCGTACCCTAATTCATCATCCACACCGACGCTATCTGCTGACTGCGCTACACCCTCGTTCATCAAATTTAGGCTGCAGCAGCCATTCGCTAGTGCTAGTCAAGCTCACGACACTTCTTCAATCTCACGCAAACCTATCTGCGTAATGGTGATGCTAGGACACAGGGTGGACCCTCTGGGGGCCTTGGAAAGTATTCTTAGACGGTGGAGAACCAAGAGCGAAGTCAGTGCTCGAGCATTTATACCTGCGATCAATTTCTCCTTAGTAGATGTTATCAGTTCACTTTTGAGTCTCTTTGAAAAGACTGAGCAGGGCTTTCCCAGGAAAGCAAGATGCCTTCTGCAACTCCGTCGCTCGACGTCCCCATCGCAGTCGTCGGCCTAGCATGCCGTTTCCCTGGTGATGCCAGCTCTCCTTCAAAGTTTTGGGACATGCTTAAGAATGGCAGAGGTGAGTCACTCGAGGATCTAACCTGATTTGAACCTTCAAGCATTCATCAGTTGCAGGGAACTTACAATATTACAGATGCATACTCGCCCACATCAAGCAGGTGGAACTCGGATGCTTTCTACCATCCAGTCAATGGCAAACTGAATTCGCTCCCTACCAAAGGTGGACACTTCCTCAAAGAAGATCCTTATGTCTTCGATGCATCCTTTTTCAATATCACAGCAGCAGAAGCTATCGCTCTAGACCCTAAGCAGCGGATGGCTCTTGAAGTGGCATATGAAGCATTCGAGAACGCCAACATGCCACTTCAACAGATTTCAGGCACCCAAACAGCCTGTTACATTGGGTCGGGCCCAAGTGACTATCGGGGATCGGTCGAACGAGACTTCTTACACAATCCCAAGTACCATCTTCTAGGGACTGGTGACGAGATGATCTCCAACCGTATCTCTCATTTCTTCGATATTCACGGCCCTAGTGCCACAGTCCAAACAGCTTGCTCATCGAGTCTCATGGCCACTCATTTGGCATGTCAAAGCTTGAAATCAGGGGAGTCGGACATGGCCGTCACCGGTGGCGTCAGCTTGATGCTCACTCCCGACTTCACGACACATCTCAACAACCTCACATTTCTGAATCCTCAGGGTCGATCGAAAGCTTTCGACGAAAGTGCGGGCGGATACGGTCGCGGTGAGGGCTGTGGGATTATCATTTTGAAGCGCCTGGACAAGGCTATCCAAGATGGTGACAGCATTCGGGCTGTTATTCGTGCGACTGGTGCCAATTCAGATGGTTTCACACAAGGAAGTAAGTGAAGATGTTTCCATTCAGCTGAAGGGCGCCATTTTGAAACGGCGTGCACAACTTGCATACTTTGTCAGCTACTTAAATTGTCTTACTCAGTCACAATGCCGTCCTACGAAGCACAGGCAGCACTCATCAAATACGTGTACGAGTCTCACGGACTGGATTACGATTCGACTCAATATGTCGAAGCGCATGTGAGTGAGCCATGTCACGTACACTATGCTGACTATCGCTAAACATAACGTTAGGGCACTGGTACCAAGGTCGGCGATCCAATCGAGATGAAGGCGATATACAACACCATCGGAAAGGGTTCATCAAAACCACGGAAGCTTTACGTAGGAAGTGTCAAACCAAATGTGCGTGTAGAATGTTGTTGCCACCACTCTTCTCCACACCACTAACTTATGATCAGATTGGCCATCTTGAATCAGCTGCTGGCGTATCTGGAATCATCAAAGGCATTCTCGCCATGGAGCATAATCTTATCCCACCGAATATCCACTTCACCAAGGGCAACCCCAATATTCCTTTCCACGAATGGAATGTGGCAGTGCCGTTGAAGCCAACAGCTTGGCCCGTTTCCCAGACCAAGCGCATGAGTGTCAGTGGCTTCGGGATGGGCGGCACGAACGGCCATGCGGTTCTTGAATCGTTCAACCCCAGTCGCCTGGCAGACGTACCCGTAAAACATGGCGACTTGACCCGATTCCAGAAAGCTCGCAACAAGAAACGACTTTTTGTTTTCAGCAGTCACGACCAGGCCGGCTTTAAGCGTAATGCTGACGCTTTGGTCCACCACATAGAGAACCTTGGTTCTGCAGCATCCAGCTCCGAATTTCTGGCGAATCTGGCCCATACACTTTCAGGAGCCAAGTCCAGCCTGTCATGGCGGGCAACCTGCCTCACGGAGAATACTACCGAGATTTGCGATTACCTATCCAATAAACCAGGTGATGGAGCTTCTCGAGCGACCAGCATTGGAAACACCACCCCTCGGATCGGATTCGTTTTTACGGGCCAAGGTGCTCAATGGGCTCGTATGGGTGTAGAGATGCTCGACCGCCAGGTGTTTAGGGATTCAATTGAACAATCGGCAACTTATCTCCGAGACATGGGATGCCTGTGGGACCCTATTGCTGAGCTTGAAAAGGCCCAAGCCGAATCTCGCTTGAGCTACCCAGAGATCAGCCAACCCATATGCTCTGTGCTGCAGATCGCCCTGGTCGACGAACTCCAGTCATGGGGGGTTATTCCCTCCCGAGTGGTCGGCCATTCCAGTGGCGAAATCGCCGCAGCATACAGCATCGGTGCGCTGAGCCACCGAGATGCGATCGCCGCAGCTTATTTCCGAGGAATCGCAGCTACTAAGCTTCAAACGGATGCACCAGACCTCAAAGGCGGGATGATGGCTGTCGGCTGTTCGCGAGACGAGGCAGATGATGTGATTGAGCAATCAAATCTCAGTGGCACAGCTGTTGTAGCCTGTGTCAACTCACCTTCAAGCGTCACGCTATCTGGTGATGTGAACTCCCTCGAGCAACTCCGAGCTATATTCGATGACCGAAAGATCTTTGCTCGACGCCTGAAGGTTGAGATGGCGTATCACAGTCGGCACATGAATCGCGTGTTTGGTACCTACTCTGCATCCATCGCCGACCTTGAGCCCATAACGCAGGACGATACCAATGAAGATGGAGACTTCCAGATTCAGACGATGATATCTAGCGTCACTGGCCAAGAGGTTGCGTCTGAGCTTCTAGGACCATACTATTGGGTTCGCAACCTAATTTCGCCTGTACTTTTCTCGGACGCGGTTAAAGAGCTGGTCAGCCCAACTGACCATGATGAAAATGATGGTAGTAGCAGCGCTGTAGATTTGCTGATCGAGATTGGCCCACACAGTGCTCTTAGCGGACCTGTAGAGCAAATACTGAATCACCATGGCATAAGAAATGTAGGCTACAAGTCAATGCTCATCCGAGGACGCAATGCAGTGGAAACCAGCCTTGAGCTCGCATCGGAGTTGTACCTCGATGGTATTCCTCTCGATATCTCCAAGGTAAATGGAGATCTGAAAGTTCGTCGATTAACAGACCTGCCTCCCTATCAGTGGAACCATTCGAAGGTCTTTCGCCACGAAAATCGCATCCAAATGGAGCTGATGACGCGCCAATTTCCGTCCAGAAGTCTTATCGGAGCTCAAGTCCCGATGATGGACGAGAGCCAGCATGTCTGGCGCAACTTCCTCAGACTTGCTAACGAACCTTGGCTTCGCGGTCATAAGATTGGCAGTACTGTATTGTTTCCGGCAGCTGGGTTGGTCAGCATGGCTATCGAAGCCGCACGGCAACTGGTGGAACCAGGAAAGACGGCTCGATCGCTCCGTTTTCGCGAAGTGTCCTTCTCAGCCGCTATGGCACTATCTGAAGATGTCGCCACCGAGGTGATTTTGCACATGCGGCCACATCTTATCGCTACTTCTGGATCCACCCCCTCTTCGTGGTGGGAGTTGACTATCTCCTCATGCGTTGGCACTAGCCAGTTGCGCGACAATTGTCGAGGTCTAGTCACTATAGACTATGCGGATACCACCAGTGAGCAGATGGCTAAGGAGAACGTCAATTTTGAGAACTTTATGATCTCAGAATACTACCGAGTCCACAACGAGTGCCCGGACACCTGTTCCAAAGAAGATTTCTACGGACAGTTCGAAAAGATCACTTGGAAATACGGCGAGGCTTTTCAAGGCGTTGAAAATGTCTATCCCGGTGACGGCGAGTCAACCTACGACGTTAGGCTAGTGGACATAGGGGAGACATTTAGTAAAGGTCAGAGTGACCGCCCATTCCTCATTCACGCAGGCACGCTCGATTCTATCCTGCAAGGTTGCCTCGGTAGTACGTACAAGAATGGGAGGTTCGAGACGAGCAAGCCAGTCTTACCTACGTTCATCGGCGAGATGGAGATCTCCCTGGATATACCTGGAGATATGGGATATGTTATGCCGGGACTTTGTGAATCCAAAAGGCATGGCTTCAAAGAGCTATCGTCGAACATCAACATATTCGACACTGGTCTTTCAAAAGTCATTCTATCTGTTGTCGACTACCGAGTTTCGGAGCTAGAGAATGACACGGAAGCCCAGGACATCCAGCAGCTTGAAGTAGATCCCGCGGAGATCACATCTGTCGTTCGTTGGAACTGCTCTGTTGCGATTGCAACCCAAGAAGAGCTTCAAAAGTTGGTGTTGGCTTCTGCACCTGAAGCTCAGAGATGGGAACAATCAATTCAATCAATTTTGAGCCTGTAATTGTTTCTAATTGAAAAAACTCCGAGTTCACATTAATGTTGACTTGATTGAAGAGGTTTTTAGGCATGTTAATTGATGATTGATTGACTTTTTGATGGTTCTTGATGTGAAACTTTGAGTAATCTTGTATACAAATAGTTAGAGATCTGTCTCCCAATTGCATATATCGTAGATCGCAGCTAACTCAGACTCATTTAGAGTATCCTCTGCGTTATTAGAAGGCTTAAAACCTGCCCTCTTCCAACTCCGTACACATTGTATCGCAGCTAGTAGTTGAGATCCAATCTTCCGCCTCTAAGGCTCTAATAGATCGCCAAGCTCGCTAAAGAGGCGCTTACATTGGCAGCTACTGGCTGGTATTGTGAGCAGATCTATCGCGAGTTGCGATAGGTGAGGATATCGCGTGCGTAGGCCAATCCAGTATAGTATAGGGCTGCCTTCCTGTGCGAACTGCGCCTTTGTCTACGCTAGCTCATATCGCCGCCAGCAGTCAAGCTCATCCGCCTCTGATATGTTTAGCTCGGTTGTATACTCGCGATCAACAAGCGCATCGATCGCATCGTCTATAGTGTTTGATCGTGGCGGTAGAGGCCTTCTTGTAGGTAGCGATAGCGGCTTGTATTGCGCCCAAAGCTGTTGTAGGGCATCCTCGTTTGCGGTAAGCCAGTGAGGCTTATCGCGCCAGCTGTTAAAGCAGTAGTTTTTGTAGTACGGGTAGAGGGAAACAGCGCCGTAGTAGGCAGGCGAGGCGTCGAGTTTAGTGTAGTAATCGTTTAGTTTCCGCTAGGCCGCCCTTAGGTTAATAGGCAGGTGGTCCTCAGGAGCGCTATTAGGGCTATAGTTAACGCTATCGTAGGTAGTAATTATCGCCTCATAGGTACTAAGGATATACTCGTATACTGGGATCACCTTATATAGAGCTCCAAATCCACCTGTTTTGCCGCGAGCTTCAAGGCGTTTGGTGGCCTCCTTCAGCGGCCTCAACGCCTCGATATACTTAGTTACTACCGCCCAATCTGCCGCCGATAGGCCATCTGATCGCATCCATGATGGCGCTTCTGGTAGCTTGTTGCCCTTTGATATAGCGTACGCGTCGTCGCGAGCGATCTGCTTGATATGGTGACTGGAATATAGGTTAAAAGTTTGGGATAGGTGTACTGCACGCTCAAAGGCGTCGTGATAGCTGTTCCACCGTGTAACTACAGGCTTAATAGGCTCTAATATCGTTTCTGTTTGTGTGTAAGATTGCTTGTTAACTAAGGCCTGCAGCGAGGCAAACAGATCGTGTTGTTGAGGCGTTTTGATATAGTTAATTATATCAAGTAAGACACCTAGTGGACCATCGCGCCGCCAGTTTTGCAGGTATTCTGTCTCAGCCTGATGCTCCTCTGTATCATTATTAAACGATTGAGTATTAACTCTAAACATAATCGCCTGGCCTACGAGATTGAGCGTATGAGGCGCGCAGCGGAGTCGACGATGGAGCCTGTCGAACTGGTATATATCGGCGAGTTTGGCGATAGCGCTATCGTTTGCGTAGGCGTTGTCGAGGACAAAGTATCCAACTTTTGAGCTATCAACTTAGAACTGTTGGAGTGTTTTGTATACAACTTCAGCGATCCTCTCGCCTGTATGAGCGCCTGTAAGTTGAGGCAGGGCAATAGGTAGGTCCCTAAGGTTGCCAAAGGTATCAGCATAATGAGCAACAACGCCAAAGAACCCGCGTTTACCACCCTTTGTTGTCCAGCCGTCAAAGCTTATATGAATTTTGCTAGCAGCCTGCGACAGATCTGCAACAACCAAGGGTTCTAGGTGTCGATAGAGCCTCATAACAAAGGCTGATATACTGCGGTGACTTACCCATAGGGCTTCTGCAGCCTCTAGGTTAGCGTACGCGATCATCTCGCGGAAAGCTGGTGTTTCAAACTCGCGGAGGGCGTGATTGTTGTCGACTAGCCAGCTGACTGCAGCGTATCGAAAGCCTTGTACATCAAATCCTCCAAGCGTGTTTGCAATGTCCTGAGATACAGCTACACGGCTGTTACTCAACAATCGTAGAGACGTTTGGCCGCGAGGCAGCGTAGTACTAGCGAGCCTGCCTTGACGATCGAGGCGATGGCCTGCGCGAGCTTGACCCATATGGCTTATCGCAGCTGTTGTTGAGGTTGTTACCTCTATTGGGCGCATCCCATCTCTGTTCTGGTGTCGATAGCAGTACCTGCAGATCCAGAAAGTCCTTGTAGGGTTGCCGAGTTTGGCGACGCGATAGCCATGCTGGAATACCCAGCTCTTCTTTCCCTTAAGGGTCCTTAAGGGCTTCGTATATTGAGGTATATCAGCCCAGTTAAGGCCGTCAAAAGTATCAGCAAACCAGGCATCCAGCTCACTAGTATTGCCTGTAGTATCGCCGGTAATATCGCCTGCCTCGCTTGTAGCTTCGGTAGCAGCAGTTAAGCCCTTAGCTGGCGGAGGAATCGCGTCTCTAAGTAGCGGATCGAAGAGCTGTAGTTCGAGTGGAGTCTCCTCGGCGGCCTGGCTCGCGGCGATCGTTAAGGCCCTGCCCGGCGAGGCTGTAATAGGCAGCTCGGGCTGCAATTGCGATGGAGGTTGCGATGGAGGGCTTTGGCGACTAACTCTAACGCGTTTATTAGGTGCAGCAGCACGATTAACAGCGCGTTTAGGAGGCTTTGGGGGCATTATAGGTAGGCGTAGCGCGTAAAATACTGTAGATTAGCGGCGTAGGAGGCGTCTATAACAAGATACTAGATAACGTGTTTGCATAAGCTAGGGCGTTTCGAAACAGATCTTCTGCGAGGTTACCTAGGTGCTGACTAATAAGAACTCAACACTAAAAAATTATCGCGATATCGATCTTGCGTAGGCCCCGCTAGCCTCATCCTACGCCTCCTATGCTGCGATCAATAACGATCAATTAGATCAATTTTTCAATCAATTTTAAGCCTCTAATTGTTCCTAATTGGAAAATCTCGAAGGGTAAATTGATTTTGAATTGATTGAGCTTTTGCATCAAGAATCAATCAATTCAATCAAAAAACTTGATTGTTCCCAAGTCTGCTGAAGCTAGAGTTCGTGAGGTAATTCACCATCTCCTTACCCGTATCCCGTGCCGAATCCGCAGAGGCGATGATGAGGCTTCGTATTTCATCGAATGTATCTAACATATACTGCAGCTAGTGCTTTTGCACATTCATAACAATCCTTCAGCGACTGTGATCGAGCTGACTCGAGACCTTGAGCCAACAAACCATACAGTCATGTCACAGCTACCTAGCGGAACCGTCCAGTCGAGCCAGCTACATTACGCCGCTATAAGCGTTGAGACTCCGCTTGAGGGCAGTACTGCCAATGGACTTTCGAGTGTGAATTCATTCTATTTAGGGGGATCAGATGATCTCTCACCTAGGGGTGTCACTGCAGCTGATCTCCTGATCGTTCCCCAGGCCGTTAGTGACTGCGAAAACATAGAAAACCTCTTGGATCGTTTGGTCACTCTTGGAAAACCCGATGCTGCATTAATACTGGAGTCACAGAAGAGTTTTGATCAGCTTACTTCAATTTTGAAGACCAAGGGGTTCCAATGTGTCCTGGACGTTCAACATTCGATCGCGCTGTTCAAGAGGCAGATTTCGCAGCCCACCAATGGCTTGACCAACTGCACCTCAGCCACATGCGACTTTACTATAGTCGACTCATTGGCGCCTACCGAAGACATCAACACCTTTTCTCATAATTTGCGAACTACCCTTGCGAACCAAGGCTATACCGTGTGCGTTGCTACTTGGACGGAGATAAGTGCTTGTACCGAGACAGAGCTCGAAGGCAAAACTCTTATCTCACTGATGGAGCTCAACAAGCCGATGCTATCTTCTCTCTCAGAGTCCGACTTTCATAACTTTCGCAAGTTAGTGCTGAGCAGCGAGCGCCTGTTGTGGGTCAACGCTGGTGATGATCCATCTATGGGCGTGATTGATGGCATTCGAAGAACCATGAGGAGTGAAGTAGCGGGCATCAAGTTCCAGGTCTTGCGCCTGAGTAGCTTGAAAACGGCTTTACAATGCGGTCCATCGCTCGTTAGTCGTATTCTCACAACCGAAAGTCAAGACGATGAATATCGGGAACGCAATGGTATGCTTGAGGTTGCTCGTATCTACAACAGTCCCGAAATCAATGCGGACGTCCGCCACTGTCTCACAGATTCCGTCCGTGTGCAACGGTTGGCAGACCAGGTCAAACCACTGAGACTTACGATAGGTAAGCCTGGTCTTCTGGACACACTGACATTCATCGAGAACGACCGTATGAAGACTGCGCTGGGGGAAATGGAGATCCAAGTGGATATCAAAGCGACCGGCATCAAGTAAGGCAGGTGCACTATTTGCAACGATTGTATGCTAACACAATCAACAGCTTCAAGGATATCATGGCAGCCATGGGACTAGTCGGCGTTTCTCTGATTGGCCAAGAAGCCAGCGGTATCGTCACTGCAACTGGGAGCGCTGCAGCCTCACGCTTTAAGCCTGGGGATCGAGTGACACTTCTCTGGGAAGGCATGCATACGACTAAGCTCCAGCTAGATCATCGCCTCGCCGTACATATTCCTGATTCCATGTCTTTCGAAGAAGCCGCTGCGTTGCCCATGGTACACGTCACTGCTTACCACGCCCTCATGAACATCGCCAAATTGCGCCGTGGCCAATCCATCCTCGTCCACGCTGCTGCTGGTGGAGTTGGCCAAGCTGCACTACAACTGGCTGCCTACCTGGGATTGACGGTTTATGCGACCGTTGGAAGTGACGACAAGCGCAGCCTATTGATGACGAAGTACAACATACCCGACGCGCATATCTTCTGTTCACGCGATGCCAGTTTCTTAAAGGCCATCAAGCGTGTCACTGGCGGCCGCGGCGTCGATTGCGTGCTCAATTCTCTTTCCGGGGAACTGCTTCGTGTTTCCTGGGCATGCCTTGCGCCCTTCGGCACGTTTGTCGAGATTGGACTGCGCGATATCACAAATAACATGCGTCTTGACATGCGTCTATTCAGCCAGAGCACAACCTTTGCCTTTATCAACATTGCCAATTTCTTCTGCGCTGAGGGCCTCGACGCGTTGGGCAACATCCTTTCAGACACCTTCGACCTTGTCCATCGAGGTGTTCTGCGCTCACCCTACCCCTTGACCGTATACCCTGTTTCGGAGTTGGGAACTGCTTTCCGCACTATGCAACAGGGTAAACATCGTGGTAAGCTTGTGCTCTCATTCGAAGGGGATGCTCAGGCACCAGTGCTCTGTAAGGCTAAGGACGCACTTCGTCTCAAACCCGATGCCACGTACCTCTTCGTTGGTGGACTGGGCGGTCTTGGTCGTAGTCTGGCGCAGGAGTTCATAGCCTGTGGAGCACGCCATATTGCATTCGTTTCGCGGTCTGGCGATACCAGTAAGAAGGCCAAAGCTACAGTAGACCATCTCACTGCGCTCGGTGCCGTAGTCAAGGCTTATCAAGCAGACATTGCAAACGAGGATGCTTTCCTCTCTGCCATGCAGCAGTGTGTTGCCGATCTTCCACCCATCGCGGGTGTGCTTCAAATGGCCATGCTATTGCGCGATACGCTCTTCGAGAAGATGTCATACGAGGACTGGACCGGGCCCACGCGGCCTAAGATCCAAGGAACGCTATCTCTACACCGCTACTTCTCTGCCACCCGCCCACTCGACTTTTTCCTCATTTGCTCTTCTATCTCCGGAATTTTCGGCTATGCAGGACAGACCGCCTACGCTGCTGCGAATACATTCCAAGATGCACTTGCACAACATCGCCGCAATCAGGGTCTGAAGGCCGTTGCAATTGATCTAGGTATCATGCGCGATGTCGGGATCCTGGCCGAGCAGGGTACCACGGGCAAACTCGCTCTTTGGGAAGCAGTTCTCGGCATTCGAGAGAAGCCTTTTCACGCCCTAATGAAGAGCATCATCAATCGTGAGTGCAAGGGAGAGGCATGTCCAGCTCAGATATGTACCGGCCTCGGGACCGCAGATGTAATGAAGAAGTTCGGCTTGGAACGCCCAGAACATTTTGCCGACCCGCGATTCGGTCCGCTCAATGTATTGAGCATTGATGCAACTTCGTCCCTCAACGCAGATGGTTCCGCTGTTGTATCATCGCCTTCTACACGTCTCGCTTCTGCGTCCACTTTCCAAGAGGCTGTGTCTATCATCACGGACGCGCTAGTCCACAAGACAGCGGAAATCTTGCTTATGCCTGTTTCCGAAGTCGACCCGAGCCGACCCATGTACCGTTATGGAGTTGATTCGTTGGTGGCTCTGGAGGTGCGGAATTGGATTACGAGAGAGCTGCAGGCAAACATGGCGCTGCTGGAGATTCTGGCCGCAGTGCCTATGGGCGAGTTTGCAGAAAAGATCGCGGAGAAGAGCAAGTTGGTGACAACGGGAAATGGGGAGAGATAATTGAGTAGGTGATTTCGACTATGGATCTTGGTGATTCCATCGCGCGGCGCGGATATCTGTAGATGTATCTTAGACATACAGATATGTTTTAATGTTGGGTTCCGCCATGCGAAACCAGTAAAAACTCTCTGTTAATCTCGCCTTACATGCTCACCAAGATGAACTGTCCGGTGACGAGATGGTGATACACTACAGAGGTACACCAAGTTCAAGACTTTGGATCCAATTCGAATCTTTTCGAAAGAATAGCGTAGTGGCATGTACAATTTACATAGAACTCTGTGCCTATGGTATGTTTAGCCTGGGCAAAGAGAGGAGTTGCCATGAACGACTGGTTATAAGAGGGCAAAGGAGGCACCTGTCAGAAAAGAAATAGTGATATTTTGATAGCAAGATCGTTCGGATAAGGAAGATGATCAGACTGATTCCTCATCGCACCGGTATCCAATGACCAAGCAGGTAATGTCAACCCGTATCTAAAAGCATCACCACAGCACTAACACGGCACATGAGAATATTAGAGCTAAGTACGTATGAATGCCTAACATCAATCTGTCGGGGAGGGTTAATGATCATTGCCCAAGATCTGTGTCACTTCTCATTATGCTCTCAAAAAACGCCATGTCCACCCCCTGAAACGCCCAGTCCTCACTTCCTGCAGCTAGCTCTGGAAAATTACCCTGCCATGGTGCAGGGAGTGACGATGAAAAAGCTGTATCGGAGACAGTGGCTAAATCTCCTCCGAATTCTTGGTGTTCTTGTTGCTGCTGTTGGTGTTGCTGACGCGTGAAAACAGCTGAAGAATCTGGAAGAGCTGCCATAGATGTGGCGTGGAATGCGATGTTGTTAAGAGAAAGAGCAGGAGGTGGCGTGTTCGGATGGGAAGAATAGCTCAATTGTGTTGATGAGGGGAAGCGGGCTTGAGAATGAACATGCACCGGATCTGAGTTGGTGTTGGTGGTAGTTGGGAATCGATCTAACTGCAACGGAGCTGTTCCATGCATGGTAGCAGTGACTGAAGCTTGATTTTCGGTAGGGGTATCTTTTCCGATGCGAATGATGCCAAAATACGGAATTTGTACGCTGACTACGCCATCCTCTTCTCGTGTTGTACCATCTTGTTGCACGACCCCATTACTCGCCTCACTCACGCTCACTCGCGTATCGCCTGCCTCCATCTCTATCGCCAGTAGCTTCTTCAGCAGATCTGCACTTTGAGCACTCAGTGCGTCAGAATTCAACTTGTTAATCTCATGCATGTTCTCCTGGACTTGCTCGATCATGGCACGATCGCTCAGATATTGGTGCGCGAGCGGATTGTCCGCTTCAGCTCGATGACAGTCCATGTGTGCAAGTAGCAGCGCCATGGCCGCCATGAGGGCAAGAAAGTCGACGGTGCGGCAGCTGTACGCAATGCGGTTCAAACTACGCAGTGTGATGTAGCGCGACAGCACCTCACGCGACGCATTTACGCACGTCATCCGTGAGTAGTCGTGTTTACTCTCATCAGACGAGACGCGCAGCATGTATGGTAGGTGCAACTGGATCAGCAGGTTGTAGTGAAATATCTGCGCAAGAAGCCGTCGCGTGTCCCAAAAGTGGACTTGTAGGTCGGCAGAGGCAGTGTTGAGCTTGGGGGCTAGCCACCATTTGCTCGTGAGGCCACGAGCGGCTTTTTGCAGCTCCAAATCGATTTCGCGGGTGACGACAGCATGTTGAGCATTGGGACTGCATTCATTACGCTCCAGGATACGAGACATCAGTACGCAGTGTAGGCGCTCAAGACGACCCATTTGCGTATCGTTGGAAAGGCAAGTTTCAGAGGCCATGCTGCGGTCGGTACATCCTTGCGGTATGCCCAGGAGGAGACACAGGTGTCGATCCAAGGTGACGATGCGGAGCCACATCAGTTGTGGGTTGTACTCTGTCTTAGGATCGAGTACTTTGTACTTCGATAGGCTGTCGGATCGATGGAGTCCCATCAACTGTGCGATACTCATCGCTCTTCGACCCGCGACCCAGCTTTTTCGAAGGTTTCCAATGTTTGCTTGGTACAAACTCTCGATCATGATACACTCAAGACTTTCTACACTGCCCAAAAGCTCGTTGTTGGTTGTCACGTGGTGGATTGCGATATCAACTAGACGCTGCATGATGGCGCGCGGGGACTCAGAAAGAATTTTGATTTCTTTGTCAAGATCGGGGTGGAGGTGCTGCAAGAACGTGGCAAGCTGGAGCATGTGCTTCGCAATCAGAACAGGATGCACATGTGGTTCTGGAATGCCAAGCAGACTGTCAGGAGTCTTGAGGCCGTTTCGATAGAGAGTGTCGTACGGCATGGTCAAGAGCTCGTGGGCAAGTATGGAGGAGTGACGGCTAGCTTTGCAGATGCGCTCTGTATCTTCTCGTGACGGTAGTGCCTCATGTAGATACCTGGAAAGCTTCTCATGTTTCATCGGACATGTTGATGCGTCATTGCTGCTCCGGGTCGTAAATTGTTTCTGGAACGTGGTCAGTAACGATCGTACACCAGGATAATGGGACAGGTGCAGGACGTACATCTGAGGACTTGCGAGAGGGGAGGTATCGGCAGGGCTCAGAGTCTACTGACACAGGTGTGAGAATGTCATGATCGGCTCTTCTCGCATCGTCACTAGAAGTCGCAATGGGGGTTGAGGCGTCCAGAGAGGCGCTATCGTTCGCACTGTGCGCAACATGGGAGTCGTCCTGAACAAACTCCTGGCTGATGCATGGAGAGCCACGCTGTCTGCATCCATTGCAGGAGGTACTGGTAATGCGCGGATCGAAAATACACTTCATTTTCCTCCGCTTGCATTCCCAACAGCTGTGTGTGCCTTTACGGACCTTTCTCCGCTTCGCGTTCGGGAATGTGTCATGTGACGGTGCAGCACGTGGAGACGACATCGGGTCTACTCTCCGGTGAGTTTGAGCTTCTGTTCCAGCTGCGAAAAAAAAAACGTTGAGTTGACGGACGGCGGAAAGAGGTTGACAATCACGGCGGCCGGCGGTCGAAGGACATTAGCTTATGCTTGCGGCGGGGGAAGCGCCGTTCGTCCGCCGCACGGGCGAATAATGCCAAGAGACACGTGGGGGTTCGGCCGTAGCGCGTGAGATCTAAGCACCTCGGCTGTGACGGGGGATCGACCGGTGCGGCGTGGTCCGTTCCGCGACTCACTAAGTCTGCCGCATCCCCTCTGTTCACACGTAGCCCAGATTATGAATTTTAGTTGTCAACCAGCACAACACCCAATCCTTCTGTGGCCCATTCCTGCTGCCCGCAACCTGAGGCTTTGAGCGGGATTCTTCTGATAACATGATCAGCGCGACTTGACTCGGAGAACTGGGGCTATCGTACCCGCGACTGACAACAAACGGAGGGATTTCAGGCCACCACCGAAAATACGGTCATCCTACGTAATATTTTCGTTGAGTAATCCTTTCAAGCATCATTCCATTCCTCATTCGGACGGGACGGAAGCCGCCACTGACACTCTATCTTCTCATACCAGGCTCTCCCAATGCCTTGAGTGATAGTGGAACTGGCTGGTTTAGAATTACCGCCAATAGGCGACTTCATATGCAATCAAGTCCCTCTCAAAGGATTCAAGGCGTCCTTATCAGCACTTAGGTATCGCATTATGATAGCGCATCTGGTTTGTTGAATTGTCGTTGCCTCCGCGGAAATCGTAGCTACATCCACATGCTGAACTCATAGGCTTTAGTGAGGTGGAGAGATATGGACCATTTTCCTAAATGGATGTGTATCAGTTTAGCCCCATGTGGGACGACCGGCTCAAGCTGATACCAGCCGCAGTACGTACAATGAATGAAGGCTGTAATGACCACATCCACATTTCCTGCAGTCAGCACAACCAACGCGAGATACCATGAGCGTACCACACAGGTTGTATCCAGTTCCTCGATTCAGCGATTTGCAGTGTTGAGAACGATAACCTCCTTAGATCATCATAGCATGGTCTGTTCACTACTCGTCTAGGTTTCATCCTGTCCGTCACTATGCTGGCCGGATGAGAATATATATATTCTCAATAGCCACCGAGCCGTTGTTCTTGCAACAGTGTTTGTAGCTTTATATTTCATCGTTGATTTCAATACTTCGTCATTATGAAAACCAGCCACCGAACAGTTCTTCTCTTTGGAGACGTCACAGATCCTTGGGTAGAGGGCATCGACCATGTCTATGTACAGGCCGCAAAAAAGCCCTGGATTCGGTCGTTCTTGGAAGATCTCTTCTCAGCGATCAAGACAGAGACCAAAGCCATGGACCGAGTGTTGCAAGAAGGTTTCAAGGATTCCTCCAGTTTCCAAGAGTTGGCTGAGAGATATCGACACGCTGGAGATGATTTCGGTATGGCACATGCCATGATGATCTATGCGATCCGAGCTGTAGTTCTCCTAGAGTAAGCCTCTTGCCAATCTTCAACTACGATCTCCTCATACTGACTAGTTTGAGGACTTTGAGTCGGGAGCCGCATATACTTGACGAAAGCCGACCCAGGCCCGAGGTGATCGGTATTTCTGGAGGACTTTTCAGCGCAGCAGTGATGTCAATCTCGATCAATTTCGAAACTCTTTATGCAGCATGCATCGAGGCTGGTCGTGTATGGTCGAGACTCTGCAATCTTACCTTAGTAAGATCAAGGGCTATGGAGGAGAGCCCCGGCACTTGGGGCTGGGCTATTCTCGGTATCCCAGCAGCAGATCTGGGTAAAACTCTCGATCAGTTTCAAAGTTCCATGGTAAGTTCTATATACTCGAATGAAATTACACTAGAAACTAATCAGTGTTCTCGCAGGGCATTCATTCTTCCAAGAGAGCAAAGATTGGAGTCATCGGAGATCGATGGAGTACCATCATAGGGCCTCCTTCTGTTTTGGAGCTCACTTTGAGTGAATGTCCTAATCTGAAGAATCTTCCAAAGAATGAGCTCAACATCCATGCTCTACAACATACCTTGAGCGTCTCGGACTCTGATATCGACTACATCGTTGGAAATTCTCCGTTGCTAGAGACACCTCTACCTTCTGGATACAGGATACATGGACTAGATGACGACTTTCCGGAAGCGAGCTACGCAGAATGGAGGCATCTCTTGAGGGCTTCGGCATATCAGACGTTGTCACGGCCTTTGGACATCGTCCAGGCTGTCAGCAATCTGAACGCTGCTCTGGGCGCATCAAAAGACATTGAAGCCAAGATCATCGGTCCCAGCAGCCACACAACATATCTTGTCAAGTGTCTACAAACCGCAGGAAAGGAAGTGTTTGTCCAGAATGGGTTTCTTGCAAGCCCGCAAACTTCAGGTACAAATGACGGTATCGCCATTGTAGGCATGGCTGGCAAGGGACCAGGCAGCGATGACCTCGAGGAATTCTGGAATGTCATATTGAAAGGCCTCGATCTGCATGAAGAAGTCCCGTCCGATCGCTTCAACCTGGAAGAGTACTATTCGCCTAAGCATCCACCAGCCGGCCCGGGTAGATGTACTATGACTTGCCGTCACGGCTGCTTCATGAATAATCCTGGACACTTCGACTCCAAATTTTTCCATATATCGCCTAGAGAAGCTATGCTCATGGACCCTGCTCATCGATTGTTCTTGATGAATGCATATGAGGCACTCGAAATGGCGGGATATTCAGATGGTCAAACCAAGAGTACCGATCCAACCAGGATTGCAACCTTCTTTGGCCAATGCAACGACGATTGGCATGTGGTTGGTCATCGCGCTCTGGGATGCGATGCCTACACTCTGCAGGCTGTTCAGCGTGCGTTCGGGCCAGGTCGACTTGCTTTCCAATTCAACTGGGAGGGGCCGACGTATGCGCTTGACTCTGCTTGTGCAGCCACAAGTTCCTGCATTCATCTTGCGTGCATGAGCTTGATCACGAGAGATGTAGATATGGCTGTGGCTGGGGCTGCCAACGTGTTGTCGACTCCTCATTCTTTCACCAGCCTGAGCCGGTCTGGGGTTTTGTCTGATTCGGGGAACTGTAAGACTTATCGAGACGATGCGGATGGTTACTGTCGTGCCGACTTTTCAGGTGCCGTGGTCCTGAAAAGGCTTGATGATGCTATTGCCCAGAATGACAACATCTTGGCTGTCATCTCTTCCTCGGCCAGGAACCACTCAGGGAACTCTACATCCATCACAACATCTGATGCTGCTGCCCAGGAACGATTGTTCCAAAAAGTCTTGCGAAATGCACGCGTCACGCCCCAAGATATCTCATACGTCGAGATGCATGGGACAGGGACCCAAGTAGGCGATAAGGCAGAGATAGGAGCGGTCTCCAGTGTGTTTTCGAAGAGAATTGATGGCAGACCTCTGAATGTGGGAGCTATCAAGGCGAATATAGGTCATAGTGAAGCGGTGAGTAATAACTTGAACCTAGTTCTCAACATTGCGGATGCTGATACCATTGTCGAACTTAGGCCGCAGGAATGTCCTCCTTACTCAAGAGTATTCTCATGTTCCAAAATAGTACGATACCACCACAAGCAGGAATGCCCCATACTCTCAACCCCAAATTCCCTCCATTACATGAAATCAACATCCAAATCTCCTCCGAGCCGCTGGAATTCAAGACAACAGACAACAAGCCTAGAAGAATACTTCTCAACAACTTTGATGCAGCGGTGAGTCATCTTATGTGACTGACATCTGCTACAACGACACTGACCACACCAATTGCAGGGCGGCAACGCATGCCTATTATTAGAAGACTACACAGACACAAAGGAAAGGAACGCCGATGTTAGGTCCGCTCATACCATTGTTATGTCAGCGAGAACACAGTCGTCCCAACTTCTAAACAAGAAGAGGCTTCTCAGATGGCTTCGATCGAAACCCAACACACGCGTCGAAGACCTAGCGTATACAACCACTGCGAGGAGGATGCACCACCCCATCAGATCGGCCATTACTGCATCCACGACTCAGGAGGTTATTGCAAAACTCGAAGCCGAAATCGAACGCAACGATAGCTCCGTAGCGCAGCGGGCTTCGCCTCTCGTATTCGTCTTCACTGGGCAGGGGTCTCATTATGGAGGTATGGGTTCCGAGCTGTATCGCTCAAATCCCATCTTCCGTGAGAGAGTCGATTTGTGCGCCTCCATCTGTGCTGGGTATGACTTCCCTCCCTTCTTGGACATTATCACCAATGAAACGGTCAATGTGTCTACAAAGGATGCAAGTCAGGTACAACTCGCTGTACTGACTTTGGAAATGGCTCTCACCCATTTCTGGCGATCAGCTGGAATTGAGCCTACCATGGTGATAGGACACAGTCTTGGAGAGTATGCCGCCCTACATGCCGCTGGTGTTCTGTCTTTGGCAGACGCGTTGTATCTGGTTGGGCATCGCTCTCTCCTACTCTTGGAGCGATGCGAATCCGACTCTTGTTCTATGCTGTCAGTATCCATGCCAGTCGATGAAGTTCGGGCCCAGCTTCCCAGAACACGTTCCTCTTCCTGTAACGTTGCTTGCATCAACAGCTCTACCTCTACTGTTGTCAGTGGTACTGCCGAAGATCTTGCAGAGTTCCAATCGAGCATCACAGCGCAAAACACAAAGGTTCGTGCGAAGATATTACCTCTTCCATTCGCTTTCCATTCTTTCCAAATGGACCCAATCCTAGAGGACTACTCTCGCATCGCAGCAGGTGTGACATATTCAGCACCCAAGACCCCAGTGGCTTCAACTTTGCTTGGATCTGTCGTTGATAGAGAAGGGGTGTTCACACAAGAGTACATGGTTCAGCAGACACGCCAAGCTGTCGACTTCATGGGTGGCCTTGTTGCTGTAAAGTCCAAGTTGGCTGACCCAGTTTGGCTCGAAGTCGGACCTGCACCAGTCTGCATGTCCTTCGTGCGCGATACACTTTCCGCTCCAGCTTCCAAGATGACGCATAGTCTCCAGCCGAAGATGAGCAACTGGATGTCCTTGTCGAAAACTCTCGCGGCCATGTACACTAGTGGTATTGACATTGACTGGCTCGCACTCCATGCGCCATATGAAAGCAACCTCAAGTTGTTGACACTTCCTTCCTACGCATGGGACATGAGGAACTTCTGGATAACTCATACCGATAAGGCCACGGAAGTAGTGTCTGAACAGTCCCCAGTCACCTCACCCGAGCCAATCATCTCTACATGCGCACAATATCTTGTGGCCAAGTCATCCTCTCCAAACATCCGGGTCGCGTTTCGGGCTTCAATTGCCGACCCGGGATTCATGGGACTTATGGACGGCCACAAGATGCAAGGTATTGGACTGTGTTCAGGAAGCGTCTTCTGTGAGGCTGCTTTTGCAGCGACCAGATATGCCCTCGAATACAGTGGTAGGAAGAACGTAACACAACCCTGGCTAATTCTCCATGACCCTAAGCTTCTTTTACCTCTGACGAAAAAGCTTGTGGGCCCTGACGGTGATCTTGTCACTACAGCTGTAATGGACAGCTCCTCTGCAGAGACAATTTCAATCAAATTCCAGGCTACATCTGCAAGTGCATCGCATGATCTCGGTACTTGCGTAGTCAAAGTTCGCGACCCAACCAGAAGTCAGGTTGAATGGGACCGGATATCGTACTTCATCAAAGCCAGGATGGACGAGACGATCAAAAATGCCAACGAAGGACGGGGCCATAGAATGCAACCAGAGGTCTTCTATGCGCTGTTTGGCAACGCAGTTGAGTTTGCGCCTGACTTCCAGGGTATCAACGAGGCCTACATAGCGAAAGATTTCCAGGAGGCTGCAGCAGTAGTCACTCTTCCTCATGATCCCAGCGGGACGCGATTCACATTCTCACCTTATTGGGGTGAGGCTCTTGTGCATTTAGCCGGCTTCATGGTAAATGGTAACCCGAGCAAATCTCCCAAGACCACGTTCATCGTAATGGGTTTCGCGAGCGTCGAGCAGACGGCTCCCCTGATTCCTGGGAAGCAGTATATGACATACACTCGTATCTCGAAGTGGGTCAAGGACACAGCATACTGCGATGCGATTGTCTTTGATCCCGAATCGTCCAAGATTGTCTTACAATGCGTCGACATCCGGTATCAAGAGCTTCCCCGAGCAACCTGGAAACATGTACTCGAGGGACCACATGAGACTCCCATTGTACACGCACACAGACCGCCTGTCAGAAACTTCAAGAAGGATGCTGAAACAAGAGAGTTGCAACAACCTAGTTCAGCCACAGTGCCAGCACAAGAAAGAACAATAGATGAGCCCGAAAAGCAAGAAGGAGAGTCTGCTGCCGACGCGAGGCTATTCAATGCAATCCTGGACAGCATTTCAAAGGCCACAGGTACTGATCCCTCCGAATTCAGGGACGACACGATGATAGCCGATCTTGGCGTTGACTCTATCATGGCCATCGAAGTTGTCGCTACTGTAAAGGATGTCTCAGGTCTTGATTTGCCTGCCGCATTCGTCTTCGAGTATCCTACTATCGGTGATCTTCGAAAAGAATTTGGAGCAAACGAACCGACGACTGAAAAGCCAAGATTCAGTGCAATTCCCTCTAGTGCTGAACCTTCCGTCCCGTCAAGCCCAAGTTCATTGGCTCATCCAATGTCTGACTCAGCTTCTTCGCTATCTCCTAGTGACAGGGAGGAGGTTTTGCCCCTCGAACGTCAGAGCATGACCAAGGGAGAACAGAAGCGACCGGTCAAGATAGACGATGACGCGTCACCAGAGCCCGTCGTCAGAATCATGCTTCTGCAAGGCCGTCCCGGTTCCAAAAGAACTCCATTGTATATGATGGCTGACGGTACAGGAACAATTGCAACGTATATCCATCTGCCGCCCTTCAAGTCAAAAATGCCTGTATATGGCATCGACTCGCCATTTCTCCGCTGCCCGAAAAGATTGACCAAAGAAGTCGGTATTGAAGGAGTAGCAAGACTTATCGTTGACGCGCTCATGAAAGCACAACCAGAGGGTCCTCTCATGATTGGAGGTTTTTCGGCCGGCTCTATCGTTGCATACGAGGTTTGTCGTCAACTGGGTAAAGCCGGTCGCAAGGTGGACGGTCTGGTGCTGATCGACATGTGCTGTCCGCGATCCAGTCTCTTAGACGAAGACAAGATGAACTCGGAAGACGATGCCAGTTTCGCCATCTTCGAATCCGCTGTTACGAAGGACGGGCTCTGGAGCTCCTCTGACACCACCCAACAGCATTTCCGGGCGTATCATGTCGCCATGCACGCCTACCACCCGCCGTACATGCTGGAAGAAGAAAGACCGACTCGTACGGCTGTCATCTGGGCTGAGAAGGGCATGGTCAATCGCGTGATGGGCAATGAGAAGCTGATGAAAATGTTGGTGGAGCAGGGTATTCCGACGACATCGTACCCTGGCTACATGGAGGACCCCAAGCTAGGTGCCTTTGCCTGCTTGGTGCCAGACCGTACGAAGGCTGATCTTGGACCGAATGGTTGGGAGAAGTATACTGCTGGTGAAGTTTTGGCGCTTTCGGTGGCTGGAGATCATCTCGATCTGCCAATGCCTGGCCATGTGCACTTGCTTCATGCTCAGATGGAGCAGGCATTTGCCTATATCGAGGGATAAGATGACAATAGTGGAGTCGTGTATAGGAACGCCAAATGGGATCGCTTCAACTAGTTTGATCTGTTTTCCGACATGCTTCTATGCAGACGAAGATCGATGTTGTGCTTAGCACACACTCGTCTAGCGCTTAGCGGTATCGAAGTTCGGTGTATACCAGTGAACAAGCATGATTCTAAACAAGAGCTCCCTGTCATATATGCCCTGTTGCCCAATCGACGCCCAGATTCGAATTCGTGGTATTCGTGACCTGTTCGAAGCGTTGGTCGCAGTCGCCGTCGTCGTCGCTACTCCGAGCGTTGTACTCAGATCTCAGCAGCCGTGAAGCGAGGATCAATGTGGTTGACAAGCGCCTCGCAGTGGGGGTGGTGTGCTAGTGTAGGCAATTGGTATGGCGATGCTGCAAGGCAGGCTGAGGGAGGTGAACAGGGGCTCTCTAATAAGGTATGACCATCGCCATCATGTATGGAAGTCGTACAGCCCGTTGCCAGACATGCCGAGCCTTGAGACGAGGGTTTGTGCGATACATCACCCGAAGTTCAGTGAGTCGCGTGGGATCCTCGCGTGAAGAGACCCAGTCGTCACCATCTTGAGCGATGTGTGGGTAGGTGTGAGGAGCGAATAAGAGTGGGAAGAGCGGTGTAGAGCTATCGCATGAGCGTCGCGCGATCGCTGAGGATTTCGCAATCGCGGTCATGCTCGCGCAAGATACGAGCATGCAACATTTTGAGATGAGGCGACATGAACTAAGAGTTGATAGGTGAGATTCTTTAGGGATTGTACTCTGCTATCTTACCGCAGACTATTAGGTTATGGTGTATACTGGCACCGGCATTCGCGGTGTCGCGCGGCGCACGCTGCAGTCGCGTCTAACGCAGGCTTAACTTCCTTCTTCTAGAAATGGCCCTTCTTAAATAGACGGGACGCAGCTGCTCGGTGGAATGGCCCCGTTAAGATATATGACCGTAGTGGAGAGAACACGTCGCGATGATCGTTTGGTTCTTCACCAGCTGAGACGCGCTCGTGGAGAAGCAGAGGTACCCACGCGAGGCGATCGCTTCTGGCTGCCCCACACTGCTGCCCCACTTTCCCACCACACCAGTGCGCATTATCCTTCTTTTCACTACTAATCCACAGCCATGAGTGTGTAGAGTTGCCTCTGGCCCTCGAGGAGGCCTGGTTTGGCAATGATCATTGGGTTGTGCAGAGAACTCGTTTCAACAATCTGTCTGTGCATGATGTATGGTGTCTATGTAACACAACGACTACTGCATTATCATCAACTTTTTCACTGCCCTCTCAAAAGGCCATTCGTTTTCTTCAAAGCTAACGCTCCCCAAATGCGTAGCGATCTTGTCATTCCATGTGATACTCAGCGCTAGTGTGTTTAGCAAAATGTCCTGTCCGACAAGAGCGTATTTACGCTCTTCCGTGGTGGAGTGGGCCACAGTGAAAGCCCAAAAGATGATTTGATCCTCGTTCAGCATAACATCACTCGGTATGTCATTGGTGCCGACCGTCCACTCCGAATCATCGTACCAAATGGTCTGCTTTTGTTCCTTTTGTTCGTCTTTCGGTGAATAATTCAGGGAGGCCGTGTAAGGTTTGCACATCCGTTTCAATTGACCGCTTCGCCATCGATATGCCGCTAGCAGTGAATCAATAGGTCCTTTGAGTGCACCTAGATCTATCATACCCTTGCAGCTCAGCCACGACCAAGTCGGTATAGACAAGCCACAATCTCTTCTCTGATCAGGAAGCTCTCCTAAGCCAAAGGATGACGTCGATGATGCCCATACCAGATACCCGCCGAAGCCACGGAGTGGTAGATCCCAGAAAAACTTGTCATCGATCGCTGCCATGATACCTAAGAAAGCGTTTACAATATCGTTTTCGAATGTCAAATTGCGCCTTGTGTATTCAGAGATGAAACGTCTATAGTTTAATAATGACAGGTCGTATTCGCAGCCAGGCAGGGAGTAGTCTCGTCTTAAAATGAACTCCTCATGTTCAAAATCGTGATCCTCCAACCATTCGGTACATTTGCACACCCATTCGACATGATTCTCGAGGAATACCAGTGATCGCGGAGATAAAAGCATTTCTTGGTACGTCCATGCTCGAGTTGCCCAGGTGGTTCTATTGATAAGCTGGCCATACCCAGATGAACGTGACCTTATAATCTGGAAACGGCCAAGATCTACTACTTCGTACTTCGTCCGAGACGTCTCAAGGTCAGGTAGGCCATGGTTAGCATCTTTACCTACTGCGGCGATGATAGTAAGCAAAGCCTTGCCATACACCGATGCCATTGCTGGTATCTACATCGTTTTATCTTCTGGGTCATTCGAGACGATGCAGAGGCTGTCAACCTATAAGTGTCTTTGACCCATCTCATCCGTCAACGCGACGGCATTCGATATAGTTTTTGGGAGTGTTAGAAGTCCGTAAGGCTAGCAATATCTTTGCTAGTTCTTAGTTGTTAAGACGAATTCCTTAGGACCTCCGCCCTAAACATAGCTTAAAGCACAGTACTTCGCGTTCGCTCTTTCTTTACTAATAAAAGTGACTAAACACATATTAACAACGTCTATCAGCCACAGGGGCGCTGTAGCACTGTCCAGTCTTCGGTAGCATTGTGGATGGCTCGTGATACACATCTGGAGCCAGGAATTGAATAGTGCAAGATTACATCGTGCAGGCTGATGTCTAGCCAGTAATGTTGGTTCGCTACCGGGCATTAGTGATGGTGCAGCCAGGAAAGCTAGGCGATTTTCAGCCTTGCCCTTTAGCCAACATGAAAGCGACATACAATGTAACTGCCAGCCGGCCGCCCACTGTGAGCTGAACTGCAAGCTTTGGTCCTCATCAAATGCAATCCCAACCTCGATATTTTCCAGGAGGACTTTGCAAGAGCCGGTATAGCCCGAGACAGCTGGCAAGCTCGAAACTTCCTGTTTGTCATGCTTCTCGAACATTGTGGCGATGAAGTAACAGAGGGGGCACACTTCCTTGCAACAAACCATCGCTTTCAGATATCCAAGATCGAGAGAGTACCATAATAGATTTACTGCCGGTGATCGAGGGCTGTCGTCCTTGATCGATCCATCTGGTTCGCGAATGTAAGTCTTGGCAGTGGTTTTTCTTCTATTGTAACAAGCAGAAGCATCCTGGAATTGCAGTTCAGCGGAGGGCAGAAAGAGTGAGAGGTCGATCCTTTGGCAATTATCGCACAATTCTGGCACTGAGGATATAGCCTGCGTCATCATCTCGATGTGCTGTGCTAGACCAGTTATGCAAGCAGACGACGGAAAGCAGATCGAACTCGGAAAAATTTTGGTGAATGGATCAGGTATGATCAGCGATGTGGGAAGGTGGGATTATATTCACAATTACTTGGGGTTAGGGACAGTTCCAATTGGATCACGCAGACCTTCGGGCAGAGCTGCATAATGACAGCGTGGAGGCAGCAGTGCAGCAGCCACTAAAATCGCTCCAGCTATAGGTGAGCTCACGAGAACGACTGGGGCGGCTCAGGACCTCACCTGTGCTTGAGAAAGCATCGATCCCGCGGAATGCATTTCTGGCGGGCAAGTACTCTGTTTGCGTAGTATACCCAAACGGACAATGTTGCAGTCTTATACGCCGATTGAACATGTCGGATGTGTAAGATAACATGGCTCTGTAGCCCCGCTTTCGACCATAGGCCGGCGGGGAAGTCGCGTGCAGTTGCAACCAACCAGAGGCGAGTTAAGAATCTTGACGCCCTTCTCAACACTCGACTTTGATCATTGCAACCCATGCGGTCATCGCGCAATCTTTATCATTAACGACCTAGCAATGTTGACTCTATCAAGTGTGCCGAAATTGCTCTTGGTGGGATGGAGCGAATGACGCAAGCGCAGACACCGACCTGCTGATACGGAGAAGGCTGTGCGACACCATTCCTGCCTCGCATCACCGGCAAGGTCACATGAATCAATCTCGCGAAACTTCATGTAAACCAATCAGGATTTTCGCTCAGTCGAATGAGTATCTTGATTCACTTGGCTTGCAGACGATTGGTCGAGACTCTCCAGCGATTCGATCGAGCTCTGTCCTACTATGACACTCTGTATCCGGCTAAGTTTACAACAATTCAAACTTGGCCCAATATTCTTCACCAAATATCTCGCCGCCATGGCATGCATCGTCCCCGACGTCATCGTTCCAGGCCTCCGTTTCCTCTTCTATAAGTTCCCCGTACCAATTGCTCCGTGCACCGTCGGCGTCGTACCCATGGTGGCATACATGGGCACAAGACCTTATTACGTTACACGCTAACCCTACTAGGTTAGAACGGCTTAACGCGTTATCTTATATCGTTAACGCGTTATAACGACTTTAACGATATAAGCGCAAAACTGCTAAGACCTGCTTATACCTATTCTATAAGGTCTGCTACATCGTTATCTATTGCCTCCGCATCGTCCTCTAGCTGTAGTTCTACCGGTAAACCTATTCCATTAAGAGACGAAGGTTTTATATAACCCTCTCTAAACTAGCTGCCTATGCACTTAATCTTCTTAATGTTAAAACAAGTAAGCCTTGACCGATCCTATGAACACGTCCGTCTTGCACCTAAGAACGTCCTCTCTAGCTCTAATGACTCTGCAGGAATAGATAGAATTAAGATAGCCATATAACTTAGCCTAGGGTAGCGTTGCCGCTGTTCTAGTCGGCACCACTACTTAAGAGGGCTACAGTTAATTTGTACCGCTGCATCATTTGCGAAAGCTCTTAGATCATTAATGCTCGAAGTTACCTCTCCTAATCCTTTTAACTGCTTAAAGATTTAGTTAAGTACAGTACTATGCTGTTTTAGCGGTAGAGGCATTAGCTTAGGAGTTGTAGACTCGACTAAAGACGTGTTATATTTAAACTCGTTTAGCTAAAAAGTATTAGCAGCATCTATAGCTAGTTTATACTATTTAGCTAGCTAGTTCCTCTTAAGGTAGGCACCTCTACTTAAGGGGTTGAGTAAGATTGCAGCAGCGTACACTAGAACGTGATCAGTTATTTTATAGTACTTGTCGAGCACAAACTAGCCTATTTCAATTAATCGAATTATGCGGAGATCTTTGTGTTTAGGCTTCGAGTAATGTTTCTATACTTAGCATCAGCAAAAAGGACGTAAGGTAAGGATAAGGTATTAGCACTAACCTTCTGCTGCTTATAATAAAGTAGGAGGGAGTCTATAAGGAAGATAGACTGTAAGATAGATGCTCTTTTCCCCTCTGCGTATAGAGTCGCTAATGCGAATAGGTCTAGGAATGCATGTGTATTCTGTAGTATAACCTAATCGTTAGTAGTAAGACAGATGTTGTTAAGAGATCTCTCGTTGTCGTGTATAAAGAGTTTAATTTTAGTTATCTTTTTTAAGGCTTAATTAATAACAGCGTACTACAACAACTACCTAGTTTAATTATTAATGCCTAAGCGGAGGCCTACTTAGCGATCCTATACTGCTGTATGTACAGTCAAACTGCGCAGCTAGGCACAAAGTTAATAGAGTTTCTAGAGAGTAGGAATATTCTCTAAGCCTAAGAAGTCCTTATTACTAGATCCTCAGCTCTTAACACTACGTACCTAGCGAAACAGTTTTAGACTCTGTAATGTCTCTAATGCAGCTTCGTGCTGCGCTCTAGTACTCTCTCGCTAAGACGTAAGAGCACTTAAGAATTGTGCAAGAAGATCTTCCCTTGTAGCATTAGCTACAAACTTAAGAGCAGCTCTTAGAGCTTCCTTTAAAGACGCAAGCAAGAAGGCTTATAAGGACAAATTAATAATATAACTAATGCATTAGATGCGGCGCGTTTTAGCATTAAATTAGACCTTTTAAGAGTTAGCATAAAGGCTGCGTTATTAAAGGCTTATACATCTAATACTATAATATACGTTATGCTTGCTTTAGAGGAGAGACTTAAGATAGTCTAGACAGGTGTCGTTTAAGGTCGCGTTATCCCCCTGTGTGCTAGCTAACTCTAGACTGTATCCTGTATTCCTTAAGGGTTCTAAGAAGCAGTTATGCTTGCTGTTATCTAGAGTAACCGTAACGACATTCTAGTAGACCTAGAAGAGCTCTCTAAAGCTTATGTTTGTAATTAACCTACTATGCGCATACAGTAAGGAGAGATAAGCGAAAAGGCGATGTCTATAGATCTGTTAATATATAGATAGGACTTATAGCTGTTAATAAGCTCTCCTTAATAACATAACCCTTGTAGAACTAATAGTTTAAGGTAATAAGACGTACAGCTGTACGCTAATTTGTTATTAGTTAGTCTTGCACGTATAGGTTGCAAGCAAGTGCAAGGTCTTTTATCTTAGCCTACTTAACTAATAAGAAAGGCATTTAACGTTAAGTAAGAAGACCTGCAAGTGCGTTGCGATACCCTTGTCGATTAAAGGCATTGCGAATAACGTTCTAGTCTGTAGTCGTTTAGGATACAGAGGTAGTAGCTTACAGCATTGTAACTAGTGTACAAGGGGTGTGCAGAAGCTAAGACGATTTAGGCTAAGCATAGTGTCTTAGAACATAGGTAATAGTGTTACTACGATAAGTATTAGACTAGGAAGGACATTATGTACAGACATACTAAGTCCTTGTACACTTGCGCTTAGAGTTGCTAGTACTCTAAAAGGTCTCTGTTTGTATAATAGCGTTAAAGTATAGAGGAGATATACTGCAAGATAAATACTGTAGCGTTAGAGATAAGCTTTTAGACGAGGGATTAAATAACATTGCACTAGTATATGTGTAATACACGACATATTTAGTAGGGTTTTAGGTAAGGTCCGGAGCATCTAGACAGCAGATTCTCTGTTTCTCCATGTGCAATACTAGCGTACTTAGCGCTAAGACTCTTATCGCGTTATAACTGTTATAACGCAATAAGAGCTCACGTAACAATATAACGATTTAAGAATCTTAAACCGTTATACGCTATAACGGTTTAGCTTAACGCGTTAAGCCGCCCAAGTATGCTTCGGAGTTCTAGTACATCACCCCACAACGATGCTCTAAACTCAGCATTCATAAAAAACCCCGTATCTTGTCATGACAATCCCGCTGTCTTTCTTTTCACAGTCTTCAAGCTTCAAGGTCCATCTTGTACATTCCTTACTCTCTCTTGACTCTCCCTCAGCAGGGAGATGAATGATCTTCACTCCCTCGCCAAGCACAACAGGCATGATCGCTACCTCCACGCTATCCACTAACCTCTCCTTCAAAAACAAACCGACCAAGGAACCGCCGCCCATGACCCAGATATCGTTGCCTTCTCCAGCTTCCTTAGCCTTCAGCCTTTTTACATAGTTAATGACATCATCCCTGATGACTTCAACGCCTAGCTGCTGGTCAGGACTCATTTTACGACTAACGACAACAACAGACTTTGACTTTAAAGGATTGGATTCGCCGAATGAGAGCATAGTCTCGTATGTGTGCCGACCCATGATAAAAGTTAAGAATTGAGCGTAGAGGCTGGTGAAGTCGATGCTAGCGTCTTCAACGATCCAACTTGTTGTGTGGTCTGAAGATGCGATGAAGCCATCCAGAGTTGAGGCGACGTTGTAGCGAAGCTTGCGCATCTTGAGTGAGTTTAGCCCGAGAAATTTTGATGTCTCCGAGGTTAAAAATGGGTAATTGCGTCAACGAGAAAATCGCCCAGATTTGTGATACTTGGGACGTTTCTAACCAAAATTAAGATTCTATTAACCCTTTTGAGTTTTCTCTTTCTCAAATTCGAGATGCGAGCAATGCGAGCAATACGACCAGGTGCACTTGCTTATTTGAACACATAACAGGCAGCAGCAGCTTACACAGAATTAGGCTGCGGCGGCTTTTCCTTTCGCATTAATAATAACCTGTAGCAATTCTCATCAATCTGCATCATAATCAGTATAAGTCTACGGAGGTCGCTGTCAAAAGTTCTGTCTGCCAAGCATACATGACTATCGTGGTTGAACCACATTAAGAATCGCTCTAGACCATACCATATTAGTATCGTCAAAACCATACCACGTTAATTATGGTGTTGAACCGCGTTAAAAACCGCGTTAAAAACCGCGTTAAAAACCGCGTTAAAAACCGCGTTAAGTACGTAAGCATTAATTTGAACGTGTTGGCGTGGTTACTTGCTTTAATACCAATCTATCCCACCCGCTCCCTCATCCACAACACCGAGGAGAGTTTCCTAAAGCTCTGGATCGATCGGTAGACCCACTCCACTGTCCCAGACCGGCTTAATGTGCCTCTGTCGTATCCAGTTGCCGATACACTCGATCATCTCGATAGTTCTTAGCTAGAGGTGAGGAGAAGAAGTAGATGTTGGTTGAGTTGCTAGCTATCTAAATGTAGGGCTTTATATACACAGTGATTTCTAAACAGACTATTCTAGGATGGCCTAGAATGGCTGACACTGATAGCCGTTAAATACATCAAATCTACAGAAGTGATAACTAATCGATAGTGACTACTGCCTGTAGAATGATAGTCTGCCTGTAATACGATAAAGGGGCGTTTCCCGGTTCGTTGTTGCCTGTCGGCATCAAGAGCTGTATCTCTGCATCCAACATGTAGTACCTGCCAAGCCATTAATGCGTTTTGCGGTTGAACCACATTAAGCTAATGGACTAACCTGGTTTAGACTCAACACCATCAAACCGCGGTTAGATATAAACCAGGTTTAGAACCACGTTAAGGTGGCTGGCGTGATTTGTCCCCCCGTTTTTGAGATTTGTCCCCCGCCGAAGTACCAAAAATGGCCACTTTTGCGCTCCGCAATGCAATTTCACCGCAACATCACGTGTAATTTTTATCTTTGAAGCTTGGAATACGTTCTGCATGCACTAAAGTACCTCTCGCCTGCATTTTGTAACTTTCGACAGCGATGGGAACGAGCTAAATGGAGTTGAAGTTGGCGGTTTCTTCGAAAATGTCACCAACTTTAACATGCAATTGAACTACAACACAGGCTGATCTTTGGCTTTAGATTTTTCAGGAAGCTTTGCGAGGCCCTAGAATAACTTATGACGTTTGAAACCTTATTTAAAATTTTGCTGGTGTTAAGTCATGTGGATGCAAAGCAATTCGGTACTTCGGCGGGGGACAAATCTCAAAAACGGGGGGACAAATCACGCCAGCCCGTTAAGGTGGTCATGTATGGAAACTGCGTATCACTCGATGTGGAAAAGACGGCAGGAGATCAGCGCCCTTGTGACGGGTTACGAGAAAGTGACCAGTTGGATCTCTCAACTGTGATGGGATTCAGCGCTTCTGCACGTTTTAGTCAGCCACAATCTAAACCACCCGCGGGTTAGTAAGCCCCATGACTTCTAGCAACTCAGAATCTTGTGACAGAAACAGACCACCCACCAGTCCAAGCTTCAGCTGAGCCGAGTGATGTAGCTGCGCTGGTCCTCGCCCGTTTTCGGCATCGAGTAAGTTAGTCTACCATGTCTTGATAAGGTGGACTAAGCTCGCTCGCAGCACTATCGTAAAGACTTGAAAGCTGCACACTGTCTTAGATCGCATTTGTGTTAGGCTGCATTCACATGTTATCTTTAGCAAAAGCTGTTCAATGGAATGAAGTACATGCATTAGGACCGAATAAAAGATAGCGTGAACTTAATGACAAGATACCCTCATCGTCGATCTAATGCCACTACCGTCACATATCTCCCTATTTAGGTTTCCTTATAACTACTAACCGTCCTAGCCCAAGATGTGGATGCAAAGCCATGTTAGGCATGTCTGCAGCTTCTCCAACATGCTGGATCACATAGAGCAAGTCGATGTTTCCCCTCCTTCACCTTCGCTACCCTTTTGCGGCGTTATACTGCTGTGTCATAATTACAGAATGCTTACGCTTTTGATTGCGCTTATAGGCAGTAAGCAAGCACCAAGGACGTAGCTTGAAACGCTGCGCCATAACCCTTCCAACTACGCCACAGTCATGTGCACCATAATCGTATCCCTTAGCACTACTAAGAATATAGGAGAAAGGATGATGTGTTACGCGTACGCATATAGATACGCACGTACATGTAAGATAGAGTAAAGGGGCTAGATATGTAGTTGAACGCCGTGTAGTTTGTTGTTACTCAGCAGATTTCTGCCAGGCAGCCTAGGGCTGTGAGATGCCGCGTCGATGAGGGATCGCTCAGCGCTGCGCGATGCACGCTCACGCTATACAGCAGGCATGACGTAGATGCAAAGTCGGTCTAATCAACGTCTAGTACGTCATCTTCTAGTCATACTATGAGTAGTCGTCCTATTTGCTATAGTCAACAAGCATAATACGGGGTTCTACAAGTGTGGTACGCGTGCGTCATAATGTTAGCTACAATTGAAGATCTAACATGAAAGTGGCAAGTTAAGAAAATTTTCAGAAAAAGCAACAACAAGATGGCGAAACTTCTTAATACTCTTCGCTATTACCGGCGCATATAAAGTAGGGTGTATTTGCACCAGATTATTCTTTAGATACGTATTAGCTATCTATAGCGTAAGTCTTCTAGGACCTACAGCTATCCAACTCATCTCTTTTATAAATGTGAAAATAAAAGATTGTTCCGTAGAGAACATCCTTAAGTATCATTTCTCCAACCGCGAACGGCTTGAAGAAGCATTGCTCGCTGCAGGGGCGTCAGTTTCCAGCAAAGATATACAAGGGAAACCGCAAGGTAATAAGCGCCTCACTCTCTTAGGAGATTCTATTATACAAGAAGCTGTTCTAGAGCCATGGTATAACTCTGAAGAAAGTACTAGTAAGTGCGCACATAGATGAAGGTTTGTTGAGAGACTGATCTTTACAGAGGAGGGTCATAACAGAGTAAAGAAGTTGTGCAGAAACACGAAGCTAAACCAAATAGCTAAGAGAAGCGGAATATTGAACTGTATTACTCAAAATCCATGCCAACAAGGTCAGGTACATCAGGAGACTGCTGCATTAACGGTTGAAGCACTAGTAGGAGCAGTTTATCTAGATTGTAGAAAAGATATATCAAACGTCAAGCACGTCCTCGAGGCAATCAGTTTTTTCATAGCGGGATGAAGATAGATTTATTATAATACGTAAAAAAGTAGTGCGTATTGCATAATTTCTACATAGAGCGTATGTCTAGCGAAAAATACGATTGGAAAATATAGGCAATAGGGAGATAAAAGGCCAAAAAAGTGACTTCCAAGATTTTCTAAGCTGTCCAGTCGTTGGTTCTATGAATAGTTCTTGGCCCTTAATCGACGCCGTTCCCTTGCCTTTGGCTTTGCTTGAACTCAGCGAGCTCCTCGCCAACACCTATCATCTAATCGAGGTGTTCAAGCTAGCAAGTAGTCAAACGATAGGCGAGCGCGACGCGATTTTCTGGTTAGATGGTACGGTATGTGTAAGCCTAGGACCACATCACATGACTGCTCTGCAGGCATGACTAATGCGTCCGACTACTTAAGAGCTCAGATCACACATTTGTACATACACAGAAGAATACACTCATTCATGTGACCTTATACTACTACCACCCTATGCTTACAGTTATGAGCCCGGACTAATCCGTTCTATTACTTCTGTTACATTAACCTCCAATCACTACTATTATGTCGACCCACTCTGTTAGTTCAGACATTATCCTCCAAGGCCGCAACAACTAGGAGCTCTGGATCTTCGTCATTAAGAGAATAGCTGAATCAGGGGACGTATAGGAGTACATCGATCCCGATCGAGTTGTCCAACCTCTCCAGAAGCCAGAAAAACCTCTTCGTCCATCTGCCAACATCAGTGAAGATAGATCGCCTGCCACCAAGCCTAGCCAAGAGGCTTTCGCTCAATACAATGCAGATATCAACACCTACTATAAGGAGATCAAAGAATACAGACGCTTACGAGATAAGTTAGGTCAAGTTGAAGCGCACATCACTAAAACCATCAGTCAGGACCTACTCTACCACATCAAAGACAAAGACTCAGTCTACCAGCAGCTCAAAACTCTTCAAGAGCTGTACTCACCTACCACCGCCGATCAGGAGTATCGAGTCCAGAAAGCATACGAGTCAGCGAAAGTGCTGCATGCTCGTCAGTCAAACATCGAAGACTGGTGTAACGACTTCCTCGCTGCATACAGCCGTACGAAACAACTCGATTTGCCAGAAGCACACGGCTTTCGACCTCACAAAGACTTCATTCGAGCCATCAAACAGATCGACTCAGGCTACTCTGCCACTATTGCTATCGATGTCTTCAAGGCCGAAGAGACATGGAGCCGCTATCGTGATCAGCCTGTGCCACACGATAGTCAACTTCCAACCCTAGTCGGAAACTTCCTACGATATCATCGCACCACACATTCAAAGAAAGCGAACATACAAACTGCAGCGTTTAGGGCGAAGTTCAACAACAAAGAATCTCCATACACTAAGAAAAGAGGCAGAAACGACGACAGACCCGTGAAGCCATGCCTCTGTGGCGACACCCACTTCTAGGGACAATGCCCATACATTGATACCTCACTAAGACCAAGGGGATTCGTAGAAGACCCTAAGAAAGCCAAGAAGATCTCTAATTACGAGTCTAAAGATAAGAAGGGCCTATTAA